ATAACAATTTATTATAAATACTATTATTATATTATTATTATTCTGACTAATAGTAATTGTAATAAATTATGTAATATTATATAATGTAATAACAAATCGTTATAATTAATACTATTATTATAATATTAATAATATTCTAATAGTAATTGTAATAAATTATGTAATATTATATTTATTTATTATAATTAATACTATTATTATTATTATAATATTATTAATATTATTATGACTAATAGTAATTGTAATAAATGTTGCAATATTATATAATGTAATAACTGTTTGTTATAATTAATACTAATATTATAATATTGATATTATTCTAACATAGTAATTGTAATAAATTATATAATTTTAATTTATTATAATTAATACTATTATTATAATAGCATTAATATTATTCTGATGAATAGTAATTGTAATAAATTATGTAATATTATATAATGTAATAACAATGTGTTATAAATACTATTATTATAATATTATTAATATTATTCTGACTAATTGTAATTGTAATAAATCTTGCAATATTATATAATGTAATAACAATTTATTATAAATACTAATATTATTATAATATTATTAATATTATTCTAATAGTAATAATAAATTATGTAATATTATATAATGTAATAACAATTTGTTATAATTAATACTATTATTATAATAGCATTAATATTATTCTGATGAATAGTAATTGTAATAAATTATGTAATATTATATAATGTAATAACAATGTGTTATAAATACTATTATTATAATATTATTAATATTATTCTGACTAATTGTAATTGTAATAAATCTTGCAATATTATATAATGTAATAACAATTTATTATAAATACTAATATTATTATAATATTATTATTATTCTAATAGTAATAATAATAAATTATGTAATATTATATAATGTAATAACAATTTGTTATAATTAATACTATTATTATAATAGTATTCATATTATTCTGACTAATAGTAATTGTAATAAATTATGTAATATTATATTTATTTATTATAATTAATACTATTATTATAATAATAGCATTAATATTATTCTAATAGTAATTGTAATAAATTTTGCAATGTTATATAATGTAATAACAATTTATTACAATTATTACTATTATTATAATAGTATTAATATTATTCTGACTAATAGTAATTGTAATAAATTATGTAATGTTATATAATGTAATAACAATTTGTTATAATTAATACTATTATTAATATTATTCTGACTAATAGTAATTGTAATAAATTATATAATATTATATAATCTAATAACAATTTGTTATAATTAATATTATTATTAATATTATTCTGACTAATAGTAATTGTAATAAATTGTCATATTATATAATGTAATAACTGTTTGTTATAATTAATAGTATTATTATTATATTATTATTCTGACTAATAGTAATAATAAATTATGTAATGTTATATAATGTAATAACAATTTGTTATAATTAATACTATTATATTATTAATTATTATTAATATTAATTATTATTAATATTATTCTAATAGAAATTGTAATAATAAATTATGTAATATTATATTATATAATGTAATAAATTGTGATAATCATTAACCCTATTATAATGATATTCTTAAATATTATATATTCTTAAATATTATTAAATATTGAATATTATTAAATATTATTAAATATTGAATATTCTTAAATATTATTAAATATTAAATATTATTAATTATTATTAAATATTAAATATTATTAAATATTATTAATTATTATTAAATATTAAATATTATTAAATATTATTAATTATTAATAATTATTATTAAATATTAAATATTATTAAATATTATTAAATATTATTAAATATTATTAAATATTAAATATTATTAAATATTATTAAATATTATTCTGAATATTACTACTACGAATAATAATTTGTTCATTCGTTCAGTCGTCTCCGACTCTTCGTGACCTCATGGACCAGCCCACGCCAGAGCTCCCTGTCGGCCGTTACCACCCCCAGCTCCCTCAAGGTCAGTCCAGTCACTTCAAGGATGCCATCCATCCATCTTGCCTTGGTCGGCCCCTCTTCCTTTTTCCTTCCTTCCCCAGCATAATTGTCTTCTCTAGGCTTTCCTGTCTCCTCATGATGTGGCCAAAGGACTTCAACTTTGTCTCTTGTCTCCTTCCCTCCAGTGAGCAGCCGGGCTTTATTTCCTGGAGGATGGACTGGTTGGATCTTCTCGCAGTCCAAGGCACTCTCAGAACTTTCCTCCAACAACACAGCTCAAAAGCATCTCTCTTCCTTCGCTCAGCCTTCCCTAAGTTCCAGCTCTCACATCCGTAGGTTACTACAGGGAATACCATGGCTTTGACTAGGCGGATCTTTGTTGCCAGTCTGATGTCTCTACTCTTCACTATTTTATCGAGACTGGACATTGCTCTCCTCCCAAGAAGTAAGCGTCTTCTGATTTCCTGGCCACAGTCTGCATCTGCAGTCATCTTTGCCCCTAGAAATACAAAGTCTGTCACGGCCTCCACGGTTTCTCCCTCTGTTTCCCAGTTGTCAATCATTCTTGTTGCCATAATCTTGGTTTTTTTGACGTTTAGCTGCAACCCGGCTTTTGCGCTTTCTTCTTTCACCTTGATTAGAAGGCTCCTCAGCTCCTCCTCGCTTTCGGCCATCAGAGTGGTGTCATCTGCATATCTGAGGTTGTTAATGTTTCTTCCAGCAATTTTCACCCCAGCTTTGCATTCATCCAAGCCCCGCACATCCTCGCATGATGTGTTCTGCATACAAGTTAAAAAGTTTGGGTGAGAGTATGCAGCCTTGCCGTACGCCTTTCCCAATCTTGAACCAGTCTGTTGTTCCGTGGTCAGTTCTTACTGTTGCTACTTGGTCCTTGTACAGATTCCTCAGGAGAGAGACAAGGTGGCTTGGGATGCCCATCCCACTAAGAACTTGCCACAATTTATTATGATCACATAGTCAAAGGCTTTAGAATAGTCAATAAAACAGAAATAGATGTTTTTCTGAAACTCCCTGCCTTTCTCCATTATCCAGCGGATATTGGCAATTTGGTCTCTCGTTCCTCTACCTTTTCTAAACCCAGCTTGAACATCTGGCAACTCTCGCTCCATGTATTGCTGGAGTCTTCCTTGCAGGATCTTGAGCATTACCTTACTGGCATGAGAAATAAGGGCCACTGTCCGGAAGTTTGAGCAGTCTTTCGCATTTCCCTTTTTTGGTATGGGGCTATAAGTTGATTTTTTCCAGTCTGATGGCCATTCTTGTGTTTTCCATATTTGCTGGCAAATGGCATGCATCACCTTGACAGCATCATCTTTTAAGATTTTAAACGAATAATAATAGTAATAATAAAAATTAGTAATGAGTTTTCCCCGCCTTTGCCGTTCTCACGAGACGCCCACTGACACGCGTCTTGAGAGGAAACAGTCTAGCCTTAATGTTCCCTCAGGGAAGGTGACGCGCTTCTGCGCCTGCGCAAAAGAGAGAGAGAGAGAGAGAGAGAGAGAGAGAGAGAAAGAGCCACGCCCCCTTTCCCTCTTAATGTTCCCTCAGGGAAGGAGAGGCGCGTCTGCGCCTGCGCAAAAGAAAGAAAGAGCCACGCCCCTTTCCCCCTTAATGTTCCCTCAGGAAAGGAGACGCGCGTCTGCGCCTGCGCAAAAGAGAGAGAGAGAGAGAGAGAGAGAGAGAGAGAGAGAGAGAGAGAGAAAGAGCCACGCCCCCTTTCCCTCTTAATGTTCCCTCAGGGAAGGAGAGGCGCGTCTGCGCCTGCGCAAAAGAAAGAAAGAGCCACGCCCCTTTCCCCCTTAATGTTCCCTCAGGAAAGGAGACGCGCGTCTGCGCCTGCGCAAAAGAGAGAGAGAGAGAGAGAGAGAGAGCCACGCCCCCTTTCCCTCTTAATGTTCCCTCAGGGAAGGAGACGCGCATCTGCGCCTGCGCAAAAGAAAGAAAGAGCCACGCCCCTTTCCCCCTTAATGTTCCCTCAGGAAAGGAGACGCGCGTCTGCGCCTGCGCAAAAGAGAGAGAGAGAGAGAGAGAGAGAGCCACGCCCCCTTTCCCTCTTAATGTTCTCTCAGGAAAGGAGACGCGCGTCTGCGCCTGCGCAAAAGAGAGAGAGAGAGAGAGAGAGAGAGCCACGCCCCCTTTCCCTCTTAATGTTCCCTCAGGGAAGGAGACGCGCATCTGCGCCTGCGCAAAAGAAAGAAAGAGCCACGCCCCTTTCCCCCTTAATGTTCCCTCAGGAAAGGAGACGCGCGTCTGCGCCTGCGCAAAAGAGAGAGAGAGAGAGAGAGAGAGAGCCACGCCCCCTTTCCCTCTTAATGTTCTCTCAGGAAAGGAGACGCGCGTCTGCGCCTCCGCAAAAGAGAGAGAGAGAGAGAGAGAGAGAGCCACGCCCCCTTTCCCTCTTAATGTTCCCTCAGGGAAGGAGACGCGCATCTGCGCCTGCGCAAAAGAAAGAAAGAGCCACGCCCCTTTCCCCCTTAATGTTCCCTCAGGAAAGGAGACGCGCGTCTGCGCCTGCGCAAAAGAGAGAGAGAGAGAGAGAGAGAGAGCCACGCCCCCTTTCCCTCTTAATGTTCCCTCAGGGAAGGAGACGCGCATCTGCGCCTGCGCAAAAGAGAGAAAGAGCCACGCCCCTTTCCCCCCACCGCCTCGCTCGGTCACGAGACCCGCCCCCTCCCCTTTCGGGAGAAGTACGCATGCGCATTGGGCTTCCCTCCTCTGAGTTTGAAACCAGCAGAAGGGGGAGGAGTCACGTGAAAAGCTTCTCTAAGCAAGGGGCGGAGCCAAAGGAAAAGACCATACTAGAAATAGAAACCTCCTCACTGACTCAGAAGTCCTAACTATCCGGCTTGTATATCGCCTCTACACTTTCGTCGCTCTATGGGACATCTCAGGGGCGGCGAGGGGGCGGGGCTAGAGGCAAAGGGGGCGGGGCGAGGGAAAGAGGACAACAGAGAGGGGGCGGGGCTGGGACAGAGTAGGGGGCGGGGCTCCCGGTCCGCCACGCCCCCTTCTGGGACAGGTGAAGGGCGGGGACTTAAATGCCCGGAAGAAGGGCGCCTGAGGAGGAGGAGGAAGAGGAAGGAGGAGGCGCTCAGGTGAGGAGAAGAAGGCCTTCCCTTCCCTTTTGGGGTCCCTGGGCCAGCCTTGGCCTTCCCCTTGACTGTCATAGGGCTGCACCCCAAACTCTTGGCTCCCCTGGCACTCAGTCCTATTGGTTTGTATACATATATTTGTGTGTGTGTGTTTTTGTGTATATATATATATATATAATTTTCAGCAATGTAGGTATTGTTCTACACAGTATACAAAGAGCATACTTTCCCCTCTAATTGACTGTTTTAAATAATATATATATATATATATAACCTAATGACTTTACTATTTTAAATATATATTTATTATATTTATTACAGCAATGTAGGTATTGTTCTACACAGTATATAAAGTTCATACTTTCCCCTCTAATTATGTTAAATAAGATATATATATATATATATATATGACCTAATAACTTACTATTTTAAATATATGTTTACTATTTTATAATAATAATTTGTAATAATTTCAGCAATGTAGGTATTGTTCTACATAGTATATAAAGACCATACATTCCCCTCTAATTGACTTATTTTATTTTTATTTTTTAATATAATCTTTATTAAGTCTTCATACATATATAAAAAAGTCGTACCAACACTGTGGTCCCACATTTCTAGACACAAGTATATATATATTTATAGGACCTAATGACTTACTATTTAAAATATATATTTACTATATTATAATAATTACTATTACTTTCAGCAATGTAGGTATTGTTCTACACAGTATACAAAGAGCATACTTTCCCCTCTAATTGACTATTTTGAATAATATATATATGACCTAATGACGTACTATTTTAAATATATATGTGTGTGTTATTTTCAGCAACTTAAGTGTTGTTCTAAAGTTTGTAAAGACCACAAGTTTTCCCTAATTACTTACTGTTTTAAGTGTATGTGTGTATAGTTTTCAGCAATGTTAGTATTGTCATGCGACTCATAAAGACCATACTTTCTCCTCGAATTGACTATTTTAAATAAATAACTTACTATTTTAAATATATAATTACTATTTTATAATAATAATAATTATTTTCAGCAATGTAGGTATTATTCTACACAGTATACAAAGACTATACTTTCCTCTCTAACTATTTTAAATAATATATATATATATATATATAACCTAATGACTTCCTATTTTAAATATATATTTACTATATTATAATATTTACGATTATTTTCAGCAATGTAGGTATTGTTCTCTAGTGTATGAAGACCATAATATTCCCCAATGACTTACTAATGTATTATATATATATAATTTTCAGCGACTTAAGTGTTGTTCTAAACTCTAAAGTGTGTAAAGACCACAATTTCCCCCTAATTATTTACTGTTTTAAATGTGTATATACTATTACTTATATATATATATGTGTGTGTGTGTGTGTGTGTATACAGCAATGTTAGTATTGTCTCACAATACATAAATGACTTACTATTTTAAATATATATTTACTATATTGTAACAATTATTATTTTCAGCAGCGTAGGTATTGTTCTATAGTGTATCTAGACCATAATTTCCCCATGACTTACACACACACACACACACACACACACACACACACACACATATATTGACATGTCAGGAGAGACTTGAGAAACTGCAAGAAGTGACTTCCATATATATATATATATATATATATATATATATATATATATATATGGAAGTTTTATACTGTGTATAGTTTTCAGCAATGTTAGTATTGTCACACAATACATAAAGACCTTCATTTCCCACAGCTGACTTACTATTTTTAAATATATATTTATTTATTATATTTATTACAGCAATGTAGGCAATGTTCTATAGTGTATTCTAGACCATAATTTTGTCCTAATGACTTACTATTATATATGTGTGTGTGTCTGTATAGTTTTCAGCAATGTTAGTATTGTCATGCAACTCATAAAGACCATAATTTCCACACGAACTTGCTATTATATATATATATATATATATATATATATATATATATATATATATATATATATATATATATATATATTCAGCAATGTTAGTATTGTCGCACAATACATAAATGACTATGTAAAATATATTTTACTATATTATAATTATTATTATTTTCAGCAATGTAGGTATTGTTCTATAGTGTATCTAGACCATAATTTCCCCCAATGACTTACTATGTATATTAGCAACTTAAGTGCTGTTCTAAAGTGTGTAAAGACCACAATTTTTCCCTACTGACTTTCAGCAATGTAGGTATTGTTCTATACAGTATACAAAGACCATACTTTCCCCTCTAATTGACTATTTTAAAGTGTATATATATATATATATATGACCTAATGACTTACTATTTTAAATACATGTTTACTATGTTATAATTATTATTATTATTTTCAGCAATGTGGGTATTGTTGCACACAGTATATAAAGACGATACTTTCCCCTCTAATTTGCTATTTTAAATAATATATATATATATATATATATATGACCTAATGACTTACTATTTTAAATATATATGTGTGTGTGTTATTTTCAGCAACTTAAGTGTTGTTCTAAAGTTTGTAAAGACTACAATTTTCCCCTAATTTCTTACTGTTTTAAATGTGTGTGTGTGTATAGTTTTCAGCAATGTTAGTATTGTCATGCAACTCATAAAGACCATAATTTCCACACGACTTGCTATTTTATATATATATATATATATATATATATATTCAGCATGTTAGTATTGTCACACAATACATAAATGACTTACTATTTTAAATATATATTTACTATATTATAATTACTATTTTCAGCAATGTAGGTATTGTTCTACATAGTATACAAAGAGCATACTTTCCCCTTTAATTGACTATTTTAAATAATATATATATGACCTAATGACTTACTATTTTAAATATATATGTGTGTGTATATGTGTGTGTGTGTTATTTTCAGCAACTGAAGTGTTGTTCTAAAGTTTGTAAAGACCACAATTTTTCCCTAATGACTTACTGTTTTAAATGTGTGTGTGTGTGTATATATATATATATATAGTTTTCAGAAATGTTAGTATTGTCATGCAACTCATAAAGACCATAATTTCCACACAATGACTTACTAATATATATATGTGTGTGTGTGTTAGTAGTGTCTCACAATACATAAATGACTTGCTATTTTAAATATATATTTACTATATTATAATAATAATTTTCAGCAATGTAGGTATTGTTCTATACTGTATCAAGACCATAATATTCCCCAATGACATATATATATATATATATTCAGCGACTTAAGTGTTGTTCTAAAGTGTGCAAAGACCACAATTTTTCCCTGTTTTATATATAATTTTCAGCAATGTTAGTAGTGTCACACAATACATACATGACTTACTATTTAAAATATATATGTACTATATTATTATAATTATTATTTTCAGCAGTGTAGGTATTGTTCTATAGTGTATCTGGACTATTATTTCCCCATGACTTATATATATTATTTTCAGCAACTTAAGTGTTGTTCTAAAGTGTATAAAGACCACAATTTTTCCCTAATGACTTACTGGTTTAAATAATATAATTTTCAGCAGTGATAGTGTTGTCATGCAACTCATAAAGACCATAATTTCCATGCAATGACTTACACACACACACACACACACACACACATAATGTATAGCAATGTTAGTATTGTCACACAATACATAAAGACCTTCATTTCCCCCAATGACGTACTATTTCAAATATTTATTTACTAAATTATAATAATAATTATTTTTAACAATGTCGGTATTATTCTATAGTGTTCTATAGACCATAATTTCTCCTACAGACAGATAAGATAGAGTTAATAGGAAGCTGTTTACATTTGTTGTATGTCTTGGACTCTCTGCTTTTGATGGGTTGAACTTCTGTTTTTAATGTCTCAAAAGTTTCTGAATAATTGTTTCCTATTATTATTATTATGCTTATTTATATTGTGCAGTCCTTATTTTGAAAGCAGTTGTACTACTCCAAAAAAACTTCATTTTTGTGGCTGCCACAAACTAAGTTGCAATTGGTTGAGATGATGAAATACTCAATGGAAAACTAGAGCAAAATATTTAATATACTTTCCCCATGTTTTTAATGTTAGAATCAATTAGGAAATTGCATTTATAACCCAGGAACAAAAGTGTGTTACATAGTTCAATCATTCATTCCTCCAAAGATAGGTATAGATATTATAGACTGAGGTATCAGTATCACAATAAAGGTGTTAGCATCACCTGAGAGAGCAGAGTTCCCAGTCCCTTGGAGGAAGGAAGGAAAGGGCTCTCAGGTGTGTCTCTCTTTGCACCTGCATGTCATGAACTATCAGGTATGGTTATTACCTACTTTCTCCCCATATAGGGATTAAAGGCGGCTAGCAATGACATGATGCAATGCAATAGAATGCAAAAGCACTCAGTCTTAAAAGCTTTCTTCTTTCCAAAATGTTTTGACCCATTTCATTTGATCTGTCCTGGGAAAATATAAGCCTATAACTTAATATTTATTTATCATGTCATCAGCAACCAGACGTTTGTATTACATTTTGAACAAAACAAACAGACAGACAGACAAAACACAACGTTTGCAAGCTTGGTAGTTGATTAAATGTCTTTTGACCAGTTTCTGGCCTCTTGCAGTGCCTTTGGTGTTGCCGCAAGAAGGTCCCCCATGGTGCATTATGTGGCAGGGCTCAGGTTGCATTGCAGCAGGTGGTCAGTGGTTTGCTCTTCTCCGCACTCGCATGTCGAGGATTCCACTTTGTGGCCCCATTTCTCTGTATCTCGTGATGCCAGAGCGCAATCTGTTCAGCGCCTTCCAAGTTGCCCAGTCTTCTGTGTGCCCAGGGGGGAGTCTCTCATTTGGTATCAGCCAGGTTTGAGCCTGCCACTTTTGGACTCTCGCTTGCTGAGGTGTTCCTGCAAGTATCTCCGTAGATGTTAGGAAACTATTTCTTGATGTAAGCCGTTGACGTGCTGGCTGATACCCAA